CTACCAACTAGGTGATGTTAAACACTATTTAGTAGATTGTTTATTTACGAGTTTATAAAAATAAGTGAACCAACTAAAATGTAACATTCATTATTTACCATGTTATAAAGAAATAACTATGGAATCAGTTTTTTTTATTCATCAATTTTTTTAAAGAAATGGATTAAATACGACATATTTGTTTAAACGTTATTTTCAAATGGATACTCATATTTGAGTAGATGCTCTGTTTTTATTTATTTATTAAACAGTATATTTATTTCCATCTACCAGCCAGCATATTCAAGAAATCTTGTTAGAAAAATATGTGACCTCTGGCAGGATTCAAACCTGCATTCCCTAGGGGAAACCATCATTAATTCTGATGTGACTTAGACCACTTGGCCACATAGGGCCTCCTGATCAAACAAGGCTCGAATAGTACTTTTGAACACACATCTTTTGGAGGGTGCATATTTTTCTAACAAGATATGCTTGAATCTTGTAGTATACCTACGGATGATAATGGGTATGTCCCCATTCACTTAAATACAGTAGTAAATACTGTATGTTGGTCTACAGTTGGAGATTCATTGTGGAATTCACTTGACTCACTTCTAGCAGTTGACTGCTTCTTCTACGTGCAACTGGCAAATCTTATATGTGTTGTTCTTGTCCTAAGTATTATCATTCATTACCAACCTTTGTGTGATTATTCTATGCAGTAACCTTCCCTAAGTTACAACAAATATTCATGTTGACAGATGCAAGTAAATATCCTGTTTAATAAATAAATAAAAACACAGCATCTACTCAAATATATGTATCCATTTAAAAATAATGTTTCAACAAATAAATTCAAGAATTTATAAAAATGTCTGAACATGAGTACAAAAAATAAGATGCATAACGATGAGTAACTATAATTATAAATTTTGAAAAAATGCATTTCTTTCATTTGCTTTTGCCACGTAAATTCACTAAAATAGGTTGCAAGCACTAGGATTCATACTTTTTTATTTTTTGAGAACTGACAACAAAAATGTTAAACACTATTGATTAAACTATTATTACTGCTTTATTACATAGCTGAGTGGTTAAGACATTTGCTTTTTGAACATGAGATCCAGGTTTGAATCTCACCAGGGTCGATTTGTCATGAACGTGACTTTTTCATGTTATCAGTCTGGAGGAGGCGACCCCAGTGTGAGACACCTTTTGAAAATGCCTGAAAAACATACCACAGGTTGACCCAAGCCTTGTGAATGAAATTGGGTAGACAGAACCTGTAAGGGCGGGGGGTGGGGCATTGATGGCTGTATTAGCACAATGTCATAAGTCATCGTGACTGAGGATTTGAGAGCATGGGTGTTGTTCAGACTGTTGATCATGCGAGATAACATGCTTTCTCCCAGAAACTGTAACTAAAGTCTGCTCATCATAGTTGCAGTATAAACCACAGGTTGGCTCTGTGGGTACTGAACAAACACAAAAATGTGCCTGAGCAAGCGTCTGCAACAGGGATTAGCTAGCTGCTCTAGTAGACGGGTGTCTTTGAATATGAGTGGCCAGCTATTAATTAATTATTGCTTATTTACAAGAATAGTGTTTAATACTTTTGTTGTCAATTCATAAAAAAAAGGGGGAATGCATTAATCCAGTTTCATGTTTGAGTTTTATTAAAATTCTAAAAATATCTTTTTAAAACAACCATTGCGAAGGGAGTATACAGCAATAGTGGCATCAAGTGAATAACCATCCTTCTGGCACACCGTATTTTTTTGCAGATACTTATGTTAAACTTTATTAAAAAAAGCTTACCTTCTGTTCAGCAATTTCTTGTCGGCGTTGTTCGAGGGCTCTTTGTTGTTCATTGGTATGATCGACAATGTTCTTCCCACCCATCAGCAGTTTACTTTCCATAGCCTACAGACAATAACAAAATGAACAGCAGAAAAAGAAATGGCTTATTATTCAAAGTAGATAGTTTATTTTATAATTTGAGTCTATGGTAGAAGAAATCTTTGCTGTGTACTCTTATGTACCAAATACAAGTGCTAGCACAATATTTTTTTTTTTTTAGTCATATCACCCCATGCAAGGCAGCAAAGCCACTAAGACACAAGGGGTTACTGAGTGTCGAAGAATAAGAAAAAAGTGAAACATTATTAAGGAATGAGAACAATAGAGGAGTAATCAAGAGGACAATAGATAACGATTGACAGTAAAGCTATAAAGACACAAGGGGCTACTGAGTGTGAAAGAATAAGAAAAAAATGAAATATTATTAAGGAACGAGAATAATAGAAAAGTAATCAAGAAGATAATAGATAACAATTGACGTTGCATTTAAATTTATGAAGACCAAAATTGGCCAGAAATCATGGAGCCAGAAGAGAGTTCTCCAAGTGAGAAGTGCCAGAAAAGAAACTTTTAGCATAAAAGTTATGGTTACATCAAGCTAATTCAACTGTGAATTGATGAGACCTAGCTGCCAATCAAGTACTGCACTTAAATTCATTAAGTCTAGATACCACAGCAAAGAGTTCATCTGGACAATTAGCATGAAAGTATTTATAGAAAAGGCAAAGGGAAGCTATATTACAGCAGTGGGAAGTGACTGAAGGTGAGATGTGAGATCATGACCAGTAATATTGCAGATTCTTCTTTGGATTTTATCAAGAATCTCTAAATATATGGCAGGCACACTGGATCATATATGGCATGATTATTATTTTTCATATAGAATATTAAGAATCGAAAAGAAAAAGAAAAGAGAAAGAAAGAATCGAAAAGAAAAAGAAAAGAAAGAATCGAAAAGAAAAAGAAAAGAAAGAATCGAAAAGAAAAAGAAAAGAAAGAATCGAAAAGAAAAAGAAAAGAAAGAATCGAAAAGAAAAAGAAAAGAAAGAATCGAAAAGAAAAAAGAAAAGAAAGAATCGAAAAAAGAAAAAGAAAAGAAAGAATCAAAAAAGAAAAGAAAAGAAAGAATCGAAAAGAAAAAGAAAAGAAAGAATCAAAAGAAAAAGAAAAGAAAGAATCGAAAAAGAAAAGAAAAGAAAGAATCGAAAGAAAAAGAAAAGAAAGAATCGAAAAAAAGAAAAAAAGAAAAGAAAAGAAAAAGAAAAGAAAGAATCGAAAAGAAAAAGAAAAGAAAGAATCGAAAAGAAAAAGAAAAGAAAGAATCGAAAAGAAAAAGAAAAGAAAGAATCGAAAAGAAAAAGAAAAGAAAGAATCGAAAAGAAAAAGAAAAGAAAGAATCGAAAAGAAAAAGAAAAGAAAGAATCGAAAAGAAAAAGAAAAGAAAGAATCGAAAAGAAAAAGAAAAGAAAGAATCGAAAAGAAAAAGAAAAGAAAGAATCGAAAAGAAAAAGAAAAGAAAGAATCGAAAAAGAAAAAAGAAAAGAAAGAATCGAAAAAGAAAAGAAAAGAAAGAATCAAAAAAGAAAAAGAAAAGAAAAGAATCAAAAAGAAAAGAAAAGAAAGAATCAAAAAGAAAAAGAAAAGAAAAGAATCAAAAAAGAAAAGAAAAGAAAGAATCAAAAAGAAAAAAAAAAAAAGAAAGAAAAAAGAAAAGAAAAGAAAGAATCAAAAAGAAAAAGAAAAGAAAGAATCAAAAAGAAAAAGAAAAGAAAGAATCAAAAAGAAAAAGAAAAGAAAGAATCAAAAAAAAAAAGAAAAGAAAGAATCAAAAAGAAAAAAAAAAGAAAAGAAAGAATCAAAAAGTAAAAAAAAAGAAAAGAAAGAATCAAAAAGAAAAAAAAAAAGAATCAAATCAAAAAAAAAAAAAAAAAGAATGAATGAATGTTAGAAAGTGTCTGAAGTAGATAAGCCAATTCAGGACCGTTTACGTTACAGATCCTTCTTTGGATTTTGTTAAGAACCTTGAACTGAATTGCAGGGGTACCAGATCAGCAACAGTATTCAATGCAAGGATGAAGGGTAGATTTGTAGATGTGCAAAATGGACTGACGAGAAATATCTTCTAGCATGACACAGTGACTCAACTTTCTTTGTCGTAGATGCAGTTATTGATTCAATGTGGTTGTTCCACTTCAAGTCAGTTGAAAACATGAGGCCAAAGCGGCACAGTAAGACACTCTCAGATGGAGATGAGTATCAACCATGCTGATGAGGTGAAGGGACGTTTCTCTATGGTGGTTAAATAAGAGCAGTTTAGTTTTGGAGGCATTAAAATTTACAAGCCATTTCCTGCCCCAATCAACCACTGACTGGAGGTCCTTTTCGAGAGCAGAAGCCAGGTTAACTTTGCCAGTGCTGCCAGGTTTACTATTGAGACAGGAGTAAATGGTAGTGTCATCTGCATAGATGCCTACTTGGAAGCTGATGACATCAGGGAGATCATTGATGAATATCAGAAACAGTATAGGACTCAGGATAGAGGCTTAAGGAACACCCACATTAGTATTAAAGGAACTGGAAGAGAGTCCGTTCTGGACAGTCTTCATTTCCTGATTAGATAGGAGTGAATCAAGAAAATGTCCTGTAATACCGTAGCTCTGAAGCTTATGTAGACGACCAGCATGCCAAAATCTATCAAACACCTTTGAGATATCTAAAGCCACAGCTCGAGCTTCACTATTATTATCAAGAGCTTGATATAAATACTCAGTTATGACTGTAAGCACGTCAGCAGTAGACTGGGCAAAACGGAATCCATATTGTTTGTCAGGGAGTAGATCGTGAGAGATAAGACACTTAACCACTTTGGCAATGATTTAAATCTTGAAGACTTTGCCGAGGCACCACCCAGGTGTTGCCTGTTGTCTGTTGTGAGGCTGAAATGGGCAGAGAGTTGGTCAGATGAAAAGTCAAAGGGAGAAGCAAAACAAATCTGCTTTCAGAAAGCAGATTTGTTTTGGTGGGGTTAAAATTTTAAAATAACAAGCCATTCCTTGACTCAGTCAACCAATGATTGGACATCCTTTTTGAGAGCAGGTGCCAGTTTTACTTTGTCACACCTGTTGAGCTTGCTACTAAGACAGGTATAAATCATTGTGTCATCTGCATAAATACCTAGTTGATGTGCAATGACAGATTGTAGCAGAGACAATTCTTACCTTGATTTTTGAGGCCAGCAAATCTCTGGCTTCTTTTTCCTTCAACAATCGAGATTCATTGTCCTTCAATTCTGACAGCAGCTTTTCTTTCTCCTAAGTGGGGGGAAAAATGGATTGCATGAAGATCAAATTACACTCTTTTTGAGATATTCTGATCATTTACAAGAATAATTTTATATTTCTAACATTCTAAAAATTATTACAATTAGAACTAATGCAATATTTATCATTTACCAATTTATAAAGAAATAAATATGAAAACAATTTTTCATAAATTTAGAAATATTTACTAAATTATTAAAATATGGGCGCTTACTATAAGGAAATCTTTATTATTTATCATTTTGTAAAGTTTGATTTGATTGGCAATTAGCCAAGGTTTTGCTAACCATTCCAATAAATAATAAATAAATAGTGTAAATAAAAAAATCTAATAAAAAGAGTTTATTTTCGTTGTTAATTCCCAAGAACAAAGAAAATGTACAATTTCACTTTCATATGTTTAGGTTTTATTACAATTCTAATCAACACTTTTTAAAACAATAAACATGGCTGAAGAATGAAGGGAGATAAAAAAAAAAAAAAAAAAAAAAAAATGGTGTCATGAGAAAAAAAAAGTCCTTTTGACACTCCATCATATTGCAGGCACGTTTATCCATGTTTGCCAAAAAAAAAAGGGGGTGGGTGCAGAGAGGGGTAGGGTTTTTAAAGAGCTGAATAACCTCACCTCAGCAATAAGAGACTGGTCACCCAGAATGGCCTTCTTCTCCTCTTCGAGTCTCTGTTGTTGTTCCAGCATATATGCTTCAGCATCGACATTGTTTTCTTCAGGTTCTTCATTTTCTTCATCTTCGTCATCTGATATCATCTCTCCACCTAGAGAGAAAAGAAAAATGCAAATTATGATCGTATTTGTCTGGCCATCTTTCAAGTCTGCAACTGAGGTAGGAATCAAAGAATGGCTCCAAAATAGAGTGTGGTCTGAAAGTCTTGTCACTATGATATAACATAATTTTCTATTTCAGGTCACTGACACGAGTGCATACAGTTTGGAAGAGAGGCTGCTTGCAAGTGTATGGACGCATTGTCGTGTGTATTCTGGCAAGAGCATGAAGGATGTGCAGCATGACTTCCCTGCAACATTCAGCAAACCCTCTCCTACAAAGAGGACGATACTGCGATTGGAACATAAACTGTTTCTCACAGGATCAATTAAGGACAAAAACCTTCTTGATGTGCAACAGCATCAATGAAAATGAATAAACTGAATCCAGTACATGTGCTTTGTTTTACAGTATTACTTGTTCTATTCTCATTAATTTTAGGTAGGGGGTGACAAGACTTTTGGAGCACACTGGACATAAAGTGTACTATCCAGTTTAGCAAAAACTTTTAAAGAGACTTTGTATCTTTATACAAATCCAATCAGCCAAGTACTGATTGACCCATTATATTAATTACTATATTACACTCATGTACCTGTGCCGTCAAAAAATGACAGCTAATTTTTTACCATAACTTCATAATATATGGTAGAAAAGTTTTCCATTACATATCTTTTGTTTATTGGTTACATTACTTTATCATATACATTTTAACTATTATTTAGTGTAATTTTACAGAAACTTGTAAAATAGTGACAATTACATTTGATTTGTAAATTTAGTTGCTGCTGAAAAAAAAAAAAAAAATTAAGACTAAAGAGAAGGGAAAACTTTAGTGAGAAGAAAGGACAATAAAAGAACAGGATTCAGAAAGACAGAAGATGGCGATTGATATTACATTTAAATTTTTGAAGGTCATAGTTTATTGGTGTTAGGTAGTGGTTTCACAGTGGAGGCTTGTATTTATACTAAGTCGGTCCTAAAATAGGTTCGACGTACAAAATGTTAGGAACTTGATATAGGTACTGACGCAGCAATCTAGTTGTGGTGGCTGGTACTTTAATATCCGACTAACGGTTGTCCGACATCGACTGACTGACCAACTCTCTGAGCGACTGCTATTACTACTCCTACTTATTATAGGTGAGAGAGTCTATTAACTATAGAATAGGTACGTTCCAGTATAACAATTGGAAAACCAGATGGGTGTCCCACAGGTGAGAAGTGCAAGTGAAGAAAATATTAGAACAGAATTTATGTTTATATCTAGTTACTTAAACAGTAAAATGATGAGAGCTAATTGGAGGAGAGCTCATTAGAACAATTAGTCGTGGTGCATTTGTCCAATATATCACTGACAACATTTAAAAAAAGAAAAAAAATTCACAGAAGGAACTTAATGAATATAATAAGCAAAGTGGGTACTTACTGTCCAAATGTTTCCTGGATTTCTTTTTACCATGAGTACCTCGAGCAGCCAAATGAGCTTTGAGTCTGAAAAAGGAAAGTTAAGTGTCAGCTGTAATAGGAGTGTGTGTGCGTGTGTGTATATATATATATATATATAGTGTATTTCGGTAGCAAACCCTCTTTTATACAAGCTTCATTAAAAACAACTGACAAGATACTGGAGTTAATTATTTTATTTAGTTTTTCTTGCGTTCTTATAATTTTCTTCTTTTCTGTAGAAAGTGTCCAAATGTTTTGTATTTTCAAGTGCTTTCAGCTATACTCTTAGCCATTATCAAGGATGTTATTTTTACTTTCAACTGAATGTATGGGTTGTGTTATGTATGTATCTAGAGTTATAGGAATGTTTTATTTTCCAAACATGGTCACCACATTGTGGCCGTGTTCTTAATCGATATTATTAAATGTTGGTTTTTTTCTTTGATATTGATAATGCTTCTATTATTTTTAGCCATTTTCTTTTACATGTGGATGAGGTTATTTGTATCATCAACAAGTATGTTGCAAATAGAGTTTTTTAGATCTCCATGTGTATTTAAACGAGACCTAATTGAGCTATGGTCAGAGAGAAGTAACACGAGTCTTCTTGTTAGGTATGTTGTAGTATATCCAATATAATTTATCAATGAATTTGAATTGATCAGGAATACGGTTCCTTAAGGGACATGTGAATTCATAAATAATATTGATTCTCTGTAATTTGGATTTTGCAGGTGAGTTATTAATACATAGGAATAAAGACAAAAGGAAAAATTATGTTAGTCGACGTATTTTGTCTTCTGAGGGAATTTATTAAGGTAAATGCAATGATTTTATTTTGTAACAAGTATTTATATACAAGAGCAAAAATGTTATTGGCTTTTCAAAATTTTTAAGTAGAGGAACGCTCATAAATATTCATCAGGTTAGCTGAAAAGTCAGGCAAACTATGGAGGACCAGACGTGACACAAGTCAATGTCTAATAAACGAAAGAAAAAACATAAATTATTCCCAAATTAAAATAATATAAATACTAATTTGCATAAAAAAGACCTTTCTTTCTCAACATGATACTTTTAAAACTAAAAAGTTAAAACATAACCAAATAGAGGGGTAGATTAGTATTGACTAAACAACATTTTGGCAGTAAATAATTTCATGGTTTTTAAATTCCATAAATTTTGTTAGAAATAAAAGTGTACAGAACTGCTATGTAATATCAGCCCTACTATAGGACAGTAAATGCAGGACAATCTCATCACAGATAAAGAAGAGACTTCAAGCAACAGAAATGTGGTTCTACAGAAGGATGTTGAGAATACCATGAACCGAACATGTGAGCAATGACAGAGTTTTAGAGAAAATGGAAACCAAAAAAAGATACTTATACTTAACATCAGGAGGGAAGAATTGAAATTTCTAGGGTGCATAATGAGGAAAGAGGGCTTGGAAAATTTGATACTCACAGGACAGATTGAAAGCAAGAGGGACAGAGGAAAACAACTCATAACCTACCTAGTGAATTTGAGTGAAATGATGCTGGAACAAGGCTTAGGAAAGATAACAAAAATACAAAATTTATTAAGAGCTACAAAGGACAGGAAATTGACGAAAGCCATGATTGCCAATGTCCTGAAGGGACACATCATATAGAAGAAGATATTAAAACAAAAATTATTTCCTTTTTATAGAATGAAATTATGAATCTAAGAGAAAGGGGGTGCATGGTCAAATCACACTGAATACACCGGTTTTTATTCAACTGTTCAAGTTAAGCTTGACTGGTACTTAAATGGAGGACTAATTCAGAATACCTAATACTGTAAGCAAATTTCTACAAATTGAAATATGTTTTGTATTTAAATAAAATAGAAAAAAAGGGGTTAATAATCCGTAGATCAATGAAACTCAATGAAATTGTTCAAGAAGGAAGCTTACCTGGCAATTTCTTCTTGGAATTCTCGAAGCAAGGCATCTTTTGGATCTTCATTAATTTTCGGCTTATTCTTAATATTTTTGGCTCTGTTGGCATATCTGAAGCAGGGAAGAAAAGTACAAATCAAATGTTAGAGTCATTAGAAAAAAATGGCAAAAATAGGTTTTATTAGATCCAAAAGAGGCACGACTGCAAGAAAATGGTTCATACAAGTGTTTTACTAATGATATAAATACTAAATTTCTATGACTAATCATCACTAGTTTTTAACCAGTGAAAATCTCAGTTTTCTTATTTTAATATTCTGCTGAATTTTATTGAGTAAGTTCATGGCGAGTTCTACAACAATAAAATATCTGTAGAAATTTCCCGTTCACATTGTTGTGTTGTTATTTTATAATGGCTTCCTGCTTCAAGGAGCTCTCAAACACGAATAAATATGAGTTACTAAAGTAGGTACCTCCATGAAATTGCAAAGAAATCAGAATGCCATGATGAAAACATGCTCCAAACGTAATGAAAACAGTTTTATCGTCAAAATCTTTGTTATTACTAAGAGGAAGGATCAAAGTATTTTTTGATTATTTCTTTAAATTGTTTACTTCTTTTTCGAACAGTCAAAATTTTGATTAAAAATCTTGTTTTTTCTTGCATCAGAAGATGTACTATATTTTTGCACAGAAAATTTAGCATTTTGTAGTAACAGACAGGCTAATTTGGAAATTCTTGCAAAAATCAAATTATCAGATTTTAATGAAATTTTCAGGACTTCGCAAATGAATGTAATTATTTTAGAAATCTTTATTATTAGAAAATCATGGTAAAAAATTTTTTTTTACATGTGTTTCACCCTCTTAATTTTATGAAATTCAATGAGTGTTATGTAGTGGTTTCACAGTGGAGGCTTGTATTTGTACTAAGTCAGTCCTAAAATCGTTTCTACGTACAAAATGTTAGGAACTTGATATAATAAGTAATGACGCAGTAATCTAGTTGTGGTGGCTGATACTTTAATATCCAACTAACGGTTGCCCGACATCGACTCACTGCCGACTGACTTGTTACTCTTACTACTCCTACTTATTATAGGTGGGAGAGTCTATTAACTATAGAATAGGTGTGTTCCACTATAACAATGAGAGAATTTTTAGTGACTATATTAGTTAAAAGCAGAATTCTTTGGAGAATTTCAATCACAGATTTTTTTTTTTTTTTTGCAAAATTGGATATTTGACCGAAAATCTGCTCTTAATCAAAAAGTAAAAACTGAAATAAAACTAACACATTATTTAATTAGAGTGGCTTTTAATTGCTATTATGAATAATATATATTAAGAACAATATTGTCTTAAGAAAAAAAAATTTTCATGTAAAATGAATTTTTACAAAATTTGTTTTCCTTTTTTTTTTTTTTAAATTTTAATTAGAATAATTTGTAATATTTTAAAATCTTAAAATTCAGTTTCAGTGGTGTAACTCTTAGAAAAGATTGTTATTAAGTAAAATTATATTTACTAATCATATATCATAAAGTTTATTACAATCTGAAACACCAAATATTTTTCAAAGAATTTTGAATTGTTTTGTATGTGTAAAAATGTAACAAATTTTATAGATATGGTGGCCCATACATGACACAATCAGAAAATAAGAGTGTGACCTATAGTAAATTTAGAGCTAAAATTCTCTAAAATTCAATAAAGCATTAGATGACAGAATATTTTCTTAAAGTTTTAAGATTACCAAGTACTTAAAAGGTATTTGCGTTATATTCCTCAATCAGTTTTTTATGGTTAAAGCCACCATAGAATAACATTACATAATCTATCCGTCATTAGCTGTCACAGGTGTTAAAAACCTGTCAACATAAATAAACTTACTGTAGAGTTGAAAAATGCAATTCTCTGATATTTTAAATTAAAAAAAAATAATAGTTGTTTCAAATGAGATTAATAGAAATAAGTAAGTATTTATTTTGAGTTGCTATAATTGTTTTTTATGAGTAATTTGTGTTTTACTTTTTTTTTTTTTTAATATTAAACTATTTTAGTTTCCAGTTTAAAAAATGAAACCGTAAAAATGTGAGTCTGAACTAAATTAATCTTGCTTGTTGTTTTTTCCATGGTTTTCTAAGTGCTTAAGAAGTGTGGTAAAAAAAAGAAAAAAAGAAGTTAGCTTAATCACTGACTCAACATTTTTCTGTTAAAAGTTTATTCAATGTTCTTAAAAAAAAAAAATGCAAACAATTACACTTCAAAAACATTAATTATACTTTAAATCAGCTAATATTCCTCAAATAAAGTTTCAAAAAAGTATATTTTATTTTTGGAAGATTTTTTTTTTTTTTAATAAGGAGAGATTTATAATACTACTAAAAATCATGACAAAAACAAAAATTTTGGAAATTTCAAAAAACAATTTCTTCCAATCAATTTAAAATAGTTTTGAAATACAGTATAGTGTTTTGTTTCTTAGAAATATTAAATTTAAACTCTCAGCTTGAAATTAAAATGAAAGATTCAAGAAAGATTTTTCATTATTAAAAATTCATTTTAAACATTAGGTACTGCGTTTTCATGGAGGTCCCTAGACTAAAGGGAAATGGAAAGGGTGCCAAAATATGTTTACCATTTTTATTAAATGCAACAATATAAAACAACAACATAACATGATGTAAACATGGTACTTACAATATGTGAGGTTTGCATTCTACAAGATTACTACCTTTACATTATGGTGGTGTGACAGCTAAAATCTATGAATACCTTCGTTTCTCCATGGTGTGAGTATGGATGTTAGTTGCAGCATGTGTTACTTTAACCTCTTCTCTGGACTGAACTGGTATCTGACTGTGGCAAGGGCCCTTAATTCATCTCGGTTGTCCTTACAGTGCAAAGGGCACTAAATCACTTCAGTTATCTGCTGGCTAGTAAAGGATTTCTATCTAAAACCCTACATCATTGTTAAATATTTAAGCTTTAACAAAATATTGTAATAATATTTCATTTTCTCACTGAAATCAATTATTATCTTTTCCCTTGTGATCAAAATGGAATAATCCATTATTTATGAGGTATTAGCAAGAGGTGTTAAACACTTTTACCTTTCCTTATTTCTTTCTTTCATTCCAGCCAAATCCTCATCTTACAAACATTTATCTTAATAATAATTTTAAAATAATCCAGATGATATTATTTTATCTAATTTATGGTAATTGGGTTTTTGGCAAGTGCTTACTCAATTTCCATCGTTCAAAAATGGCAAATTTTATTGCAATCACCATTACTTTTGGCTTAGATCAAAGTGCAGTATCTGTTCTTATCAGCTTAATCTAATTCTCTCTTTTTCTCCCTCCCCATTTCTCTTCCTGTCTTTCTTTCATTTTTTTTTCCACTGAAACCAAGTGTTGCCTTTTCCCCCTCTTTCCATGTGATCAAAACATGGAATAGTCCATTATTTATGAGGTATTGACAGGATGTAACAGTCATGCTAACAAAGGGAAGGACAAGCACAACTATAATAGGATCATTTTATAATGAAAAATTAAAAAAAAAAAAAAAAAATTATTCAAAAATTTATAAAAATTTACGAAATTATAAAAAAAATGTGAACCAATAACTATGCAATATTTACTATTTGTCATTTTATAAACAGATACATATGAAAACAAGTTGTTTATTTGTAATTTTAAAAAAATGTCTATGAACTATAGAACAAAAAAAATTAAATTTTTTTCTCAAATGTTCTATATCTCAGATTACTTTCAGTTTTAATTTTCTTTATAAACAGGATCTAGGAACAAGGATGCCTAATTAAAAGAAATCAAGGGTTTGAAACTCCAGTTACTATAGGTTAGCCACTTCCTCTTCTTTTTTGAAAAACATCATTTTGAAAATTTTTTTTTAAAGTTGTTTCTAATTTTTCTAAAATGCTGAGAAAATCAGGCAAAAGATTATTTTCAGTCAAATGCTAACTGATAAAGAAATCTAAAATGAGGAGTGGACACTAAGCATTTTGACTAAAGCAATTAGCAAAGCTGGTGAATTGTGCTCTTTGAAATGATTGGCAAAACATTGACTAATTGCCAATCAATTTGAACTTTATAACATGGTAAATGATTTTGTTGTATAGTGTTGTAAAATGGTAAATATAAAGATTTTGTTATAGTTGGTTAACATATTTTTATAATTTAGTAAATTTTTCTAAATCTATGAATAAAAAAGTTGCCAACTGAGCAAGACATTGTAAAATGTTAAATAATTAAGATTTTGTTGTACAGTGTTGTTTTTTGACACGTGATCAGTAGTCAACTTACTCCCATCCGACTCATTACTCTATACATTATTTCTCCAATAAGCAACATATGCAAATAGGTTAAAATCCTATTTGCCAATCCCATTACAGATTTCATTATAGTTGGTTCACATATTTTTATGAGTTTTTTTTTTTTTTTTTAAGCATTCCACCCCAAGCAAGGTGGGAGTGCCACTAGCATGCAAAAGGTTACAGAGAGTGAAAGTATGAGTAAAGACAGGTGATTGATAAAAAGAAGAACAGGAAATTAGATCAAGGCATCAGATGTTGATTGACATTACATTTGAATATTTGAAGCAAGTAAGAGGAAGGGAGTTCCACTGTTGGGAAGTGTGAGAGAAGAAGCTGTTGGAGTAGCAGAGGCAGTTACATTTAACTGTTTTGGCAGTAAAAGGGTGGGACTGAGATGCCAACTTAGTAATGTGCACCAACAACTATGCAATATTTATTATTTGTCATTTTATAAACAGATACATATGAAAACAAGTTGTTTATTTGTAATTTTTAAAAAATGTCTATGAACTATAGAACAAAAAAAAATTAAATAAACTTATTTCTGGACATAACAAATTTTTTTCTCAAATGTTCTATATCTCAGATTACTTTTAGATTTAATTTTCCAATTTTCTTTATAATCAGGATCTAGGATCAAGGATGCCTAATTAATAGAAATCAAAGGCCCGAAACTCCAGCTACTATAGGTTAGCTACTTCCAACCTAGTAATGTGCTTAAATTCACGCAGTTGGAGCACCAGAGAAAAAAAGCTCTTCAGAGTAGTTGCCATGATAATATTTGTAGAAAAGACAGAGGGAAGCCACATCATGTCTGTGATAAAAGTGACTGGACTCGACATACCAGGTCAGCACCTATCACATCATAAATTTATGAATAAAAAAATTCATTTCATATTTATTTCTTTATGAATTGGTAAATGACAAACATCGAATTCTATTAGTTGGTTTGTATATATTTACAATGTAAATATAAAATTATTTTTGTAAATAATCTAAGTAATATATAGTGTTTAATATTCTTGTAAATTCTCAGGAACAAAGGAAACATATAAATTCACTGTTCATCATATGTTTGGATTTTATTAAAATTCTAATCATCACTTTTTAGAACAATAAATGTTGCTGAGGAGTGAAAGGAATATAAATTAATAGTGGCATCAAGGGAAAAACTGCCCTTTTTACAAACAGTTTTTGCAGACACAAAGGTTAAACATTTGCCCATTTATCAAAAATATGTACATTCTTAGACAGGTGGTGTCAAAAGCAAGGGAGGTAATGACTTTCTTACCTTAAAGTAGTAATGGACTCATCGTAGTTGTAGCTAGCAGGACCGATGTTAGCAACCATCACAGTTCGAGCATTGCCGCCCAAGGAATCTGTAACAATAAAATAATTCCTGTTAAGATATAGGCAATTATTTTTTTTTTTTTTAATGGAGGATATTGTGAGTGATTTGTTTGTTTTCTATGGCTTTTCAACCATTTATTTAAAACTAGAAAATATTTTTAGGTTATAAGAATTTCTTTTTTTGAGGTAATAATGATGATTTAATTATACAAGTTTTACTAATTAACCCATAGCTGGAGGGAGAAGTGGATTCATAGCTAATCAGAATTTGATAAACAAAAAAATTATAGTGGATATAAAATGGGAGATCAATTCAATATTACAATCAATATATAAATTGGTCCCTCACTTTGAGGCCGCGGTAGTTTCTATACATTTATATTCCACCAAACATAAATAAATCTAAAAGACACATCTGCGTAGGAAATCAGTATTTAATTGATTGATTGCTTGGTTTTCTATGGCTTATCAACCTTTTGAAGGTTATTTAAAGCCAGAGAATATTTTTAGATTCTAAGAATATTTTTTAGAAGAAAAATGGTTTAGTGTTTCAAGTTTTACTAATTAACCCATAGCTGGGGAGAAGAGGTGAATTCATAAATAAGTCTAAAAGAAATGCCCGTGTAGCTAATCAGTATTTGATTGATTCATTTTCTACAGGTTATTTAAAGCCAGAAAGTATTTTTAGAACATAAAAAAAACTTTTTTTTGAGATAATGACGATTTAGTGACACAAACCTTACAAATTACACCAGCTGCACATCCAAGCTTACAGCACCTGATATTCTCAAGCAGTCACTCATTTAGGTACTGATCAGGCTCGATGTTGCTTAATTTGGGAGATTTTACAGGAACTGGTGTTTCATTGTAATGTGTCTACAAGCCGGGTATTGTGAGGGAGAGTCAGTGGATACCAATGCCAGTGAGGACAGTGTGTGACTAATATATCTCTTTGTTATTATTCTCCAAATCAATTACACTAACTGCAAATATGAACTATTAGTCAATCTATTTCAAAAGTTGTCATGAAACTTTAAAAATTTCTTTTGCCTTTGTTAGACTGACGCAAAAATCCCCAATACTGTCTTTCCATAATATTAGGGAAAACCTTCTAGTGTAACCTTCATACGAATGTCCTTGGAGATGAAATGAATCCAATTCTCCTCTCAGTTATTGTTAAATAGCAGGCAAAAGTAATTGTTCTCTTTCGTCTTGGGTGTGTGGGTGGTGTAACTGATTGCAGCTTTGAAAGAGAAATCAGTGAAAGGGAGTTCTACTTCCAACAGAGTTTGTAATGTTTACTATTGCATAAATACCTTTGGGAAAGGTGTGAATCTACCTCTTCTCTCCTCCACCAGCCACGTATTAAATAGCAGGGAAGATGGGCTTCTCTAGTAGTAGCTAAGAGAGGGACAATTCTGAATTCAAAATTAGCATGAAGGGTGGTAGGTTGTGTCAGGCTACCATGCACTTGGCACACCCACCAGTGCTATGGCTGTATAGCAACAGTTAGGGACTCATGTTACCTTGGTTGGTAACAAGTCTCAGAGAAAGCCGATTTCAAACCAGGAATGGAAACTTGAAGGCAGACTAGTTCCACAGTTTTCATTTCAACGTTTCCAGGTTATTTAATTCCCAATTCTGTCGTTTTGATAAACAGTTTTACATATACATTTGTGGGTGCATATATATTTTTTGAAAGAGAGACAGAAAATGTAGACATATGGCTGGTTTGCATGGGAGATAAAATAAAGTAGGCATATGGCTGGTTTGCATGGGAGATAAAATAAAGTAGGCATATGGCTGGTTTGCATGGGAGATAAAATAAAGTAGGCATATGGCTGGTTTGCATGGGAGATAAAATAAAGTAGGCATATGGCTGGTTTGCATGGGAGATAAAATAAAAGGTAGGCATATGGCATATGGCTGGTTTGCATGGGAGATAAAATAAAGTAGGCATATGGCTGGTTTGCATGGGAGATAAAATAAAGTAGGCATATGGCTGGTTTGCATGGGAGATAAAAAAAAAAAAAAAAAAAAAAGGTAGACATGAGGCTGATTTACACAAGAGACAAAACTGATTTTGAATTTTTCCCTTTGTCATCTGTTAAATAAATGAAGTGTTGTATTGTGTTGTTCTACATGTGATCAGTCGTCAACTTCTGCTATCTTCCATAGTCTCATCTTCTATTGCATTATCCCGATCTGAAGAACTCATATTTTTCTTTTCTGTCGAGATGATCTTCCATCACGTCGTCTTCCTCTTCAATTCTGGGTCTTAATTGGTCAGAATGGGCTATTAGGATTTTTCCTTTCTTACCTGCTGACCTTTCAATTTTTTAACCCTGGTCTGGGCTGCAAAACACTGGATCCAAGTTTCAACAAGTTCTGGTTCATCCCAGCCACTTAAACATCGTCTCGGTGACACTATATGGAGTTTAAATTATTTCCTTTGATAAAATATAGCTCAAAAAAAAAAAAAAAAAAAAACTGGTTCAATGATACATAGCATAAGGAATTACAAAAATATATATATACCCTGCAATAAACGTGTTAATTTTGAATCACGGTAGGGAATATGCGAACTTTTGCCGTCAACCAGGGCTGAGATTACATTGCCAAGGGCTGACAGAGAAAGATTGATTTTGGTTGCTTCTTTTAAACGCTCTCCCTGAATAAAAAAAAAAAAAAAAAAAATAATAATTACATGAAAAGGAAATCATTCAAACTACAAAAAATATTACTAATACGAAATATATAATATAGAGTCAATCAATGGACCCCCAAAAAAGTGTTGATGTTTAATAGTAAATTTGATGGATTTGATAAGGTCATATTGGCAGCTGATCTAAAAAAAAAAAAAAAAAAAAACGACCAACAATCTGTTGTTAACAGGAATAATTTTATGCTTACAACATTCTAGAAACTAATACAATATTTATCACTTACCAATTTATAAAGAATTAAATGTGAAAACAAATTTTTATTCATAAATTTATAAACATTTACTAAATTATTAAAATATGTGAACCAACTATATGGAAATCTTTATTATTTATCATTTTATAAAATTTGAATCAATTGGCAATTAGCTGATGTTTTGTCATACATTTCAATAAATAATATAATAAATAAATAGTGTAAATAAATAATCAAATAAACAAATAGTGTTTATTATTTCTGTTGTCAATTCTGAAGAACAAAAAATGTATGAATTCACTTTCATCATATGTTTGGGTTTTATTACAATTCTAATCATTGATTTTTAAAATCAATAAACATTTAGGAAGAGTGAAGGTAGTTAAAAAAGCAGTGTCATGGAAAAGACCGTCCTTTTGATATCATGTCCTATTGCAGACAAAAAGGTCCAAGTTTGGCAACATTTTATTATTCAAGTGGTTAACAGATTTTCATCTATTTTTTTTTAAACCAATACTGAAAAGGTTTTGAATCAACTCATAATTATATTTGGATTATAAGAAAGAGTGGGGAATAAAAATCAATAAACAGAAATGAATTTTTCTATTTTAATAAAACATTTTTTTTTGTTTCTCAATATTAAGGAAAACTTTGCCAAAAGCGATTTTTTTCAATTTTAATAAATTACTCCACTTTATACAAGGAAATAAATAACATATACGTACTGTCGCTCCTGTTTTGGCTTGTCGTTCGCTACCTGCCAGATCCACCAAGTTCAGCTTGCCAACGCGGATATGGTTCTCTCCATCAACACCCATCTACAGCACAATGCAGAAGGGAAAAACAAATTCTTCATTAAATATATTAAGACGGAAATTTGGTCACTTCAGTTGACATGAGACAATATTATTTCATAAATTTTTTATTTGCATCATAAAATGATTTGTAATTAAACCTGACATCTATCATATTATAATTTTGTGTGTCCTCGCTTCATATGCCTGATATGCACTGCCATTACTCTAGATAAATAATGGACCATTTTGTTTTGATTGCCAAGAAAGATAGAAGATAAAAGATATTAAAGATGCGGGTGGGTTTTAATGAGAAAAAGGATACATAAGAAAGAAAGAAAAAAAAAGAAAGGAAAGAAAGAAAAGGAAAGAAAGAAAAGGAAAGAAAGAAAAGGAAAGGAAAGAAAGAAAAAAGGAAAGAAAGAAAAAAAGGAAAGAAAGAAAAAAAGGAAAGAAAGAAAAAAGGAAAGAAAAGAAAAAAAAAGGAAAGAAAGAAAAAAAGGAAAGAAAGAAAAGGAAAGAAAGAAAAAAGGAAAGAAAAAAAGAAAAAGGAAAAAAAAAGAAAAAGGAAAGAAAGAAAAAAAAGGAAAGAAAGAAAAAAAAAAGAAAAAAAAAAAGAAAAAAGGAAAGAAAGAAAAAAGGAAAGAAAGAAAAAAGGAAAGAAAGAAAAAAGGAAAGAAAGAAAAAAGGAAAGAAAGAAAAAAGGAAAGAAAGAAAAAAAAGGAAAAAAAAAAGGAAAAAAAAAGAAAGAAAGAAAAAAGAAAGAAAAAAAAAAAAAAAGAAAAAAAGGAAAAAAAAGGAAAGAAAGAAAAAAGGAAAGAAAGAAAAAAAGGAAAGAAAGAAAAAAAGGAAAGAAAGAAAAAAAGGAAAGAAAGAAAAAAAGGAAAGAAAGAAAAAAAAGGAAAGAAAGAAATGGAAGTTATAGGAGGTGATAACACTCATATGTTTAATGTCTGCTTCAATTAAATGGAAAACCTTGTCAATTTTGAATCTTCATTCCCTCTTGCTTCTTTAAAAAATGTCCAACATTCATATTTGTGACTGCAATTGCAATATTTTATTATATGAAATTCGTTGAACTCTAATATGAATTTCCAGTGTTGTAGCATACCTACGGATGATAGCAGGTATGTCCCCATTCACATAAATACAGTAGTAAATACTGTATGTTGGTCTGCAGTTGGAGATTCATTGTGGAATTCACTTGACTCACTTCTAGCAGTTGACTACTTTTACATGCTGCTGGCAAATCTTATATTAGTTGTTCTTTTCCTAAGTATTATTGTTCATTACCAACCTTTGTTTGATTATTCTATTCAGTAACCTTTCCTAGGTTACAACACAGGTATTTCTACATCTTTCTTGGCCAGCCGAGTTGGTCAATGCCTGTCTGTGAAGGGTGTCCAATACTGTTCTGTCCAAGAGATGTTCTGATCTGGCCGACTTTGTGATGCCATCAAAGTCAGCCATAGCAGTTGAGAGTTTGTCCATGTTGTATCCAGTATCATGAGTGAGTTGGCCAATGCCTTTTGTTGAAGAGTGTCTACTGCTGTTATGTCCAAGAGATGGTTTCCAGAGGAGGATATGATTAATAATTTCTAAAGTCATAACAAATCTTTTAGTCGCAAATCTCCCTAGTTGTATTAGTAATCCACATACAAAGACACAGTTCAAAGGTTATTGCGCCAATGAAAGAAAACAATGATACTGATCTTGTTAGTGATAATAAAAACCTTTCTGTTGTACTTACCTCACTGCACTCAATGGTGATGATAAAGATAGCATGGGACCTGGAACTGTGTTCATTCATATTGGTTGCCCTGCAACATAGCACAATAAAATATGAAGGTCTTGTTTCTAGCCAGGCTTACAATAACCATCATCTTATTGTCAATGGCAGGATACAAAAGAACAATTTTAAAAAGTGTCATCAACCTGAAAACTTGAGTAATGTTCTTAAATAGACTCAGTAGATCAAGACTTTCAGATGGATGGTGCCAAACCTGTTCAGAAATATCTAAACTCTCAGCTGTATACAACCGCTTACTAAGATCAATGGTGAAAAAGGCTGTCGAGCAAGTGAAGTCTGATTTAGTCAATATGATGTTACACAATAATATCCTGATCTCAAGTGGTTAACAAAAATAGTTACAAACTTTGATTGTCTATTGCAGCTGTATTTAAATGATACTATACAATCACTTTCTAAGATCAATGGTGAAAAAGGCTGTCGAGCAAGTGAAGTCTGATTTAGTCAATATGATGTTACACAATAATATCCTGATCTCAAGTGGTTAACAAAAATAGTTACAAACTTTGATTGTCCATTCCAGCTGTATTTAAATGATACTATACAATCACTTTCTAAGATCAATGGTGAAAAAAAGACTTTGAGCAAGTGAAGCCTGAGAGTCTTGGCAAAGATCCTCAATTCTTTGAACATTGGGGACTGGCACCACTATAAAATCTTAAAACAATTTTGAAGAAAAATAGGTTTCTCAAGTCCTGTAGTGGTTTATTTTTTTCAGTATTGATATTAGCCGTTTCCCAACAATTAAACATTTGGCATTCATTGACCGAGCAGCCAGTACTACTTTTGGTTGAAGTTTATAAAATCTTTCTATTAAAACAACTTTTCAGGAAAACAGGTTTCCCAAGTCCAGTAGCTGTTATTGCTCTTTCCAGTATTGATGGGAGTTTCCTTCCTAACCTTTTGTTTGAAGTGGTGTGAAATGTCAACATCTTCATTATGTCATTATTTTCTCCTTGACTTACATGTGCTATCCATTTTAGTTGTTGCTGCTGTTGGTAGTCCTCAAGTGATGTGGTTTCTCTTATTTGTTATAGTTCTTTGTGATTCTGTAGCACCAGTCCACAATATTCAAAGAAGGATATTCTTTGCCAAGACCCTTGGGTTTCACTCACACAAATACATTTTTAACTACTGATCTTAGTAAGTGATTGTATAGCATAATTTGAATAAAGGCAGATAGGACAATCAAATTTTGTAACTAGTTTTGTTAATGACTCGAGATCAGGATATTATTGTGTGACATTGCATTGGCTAAATTAGCCATTCTGCGGATATTCATTGCATTCATAACCATCAACTGTCTTGAATCACAAGTGGATTCACTGCCAGAGTAAGAAGACCCAAAATAAAGAAATTTCATTTAACTCCTAAAAGATTAACAGACAAATATATTTTAGGAAAAGTACAAAGGTCACGATGAAAGTAATGCTACCCATACAATTAAATTAAGAAAAATAAGTAAAGAAAAAATTGAAAAAAATATTGATTCAGGTTATCAACCCTTTGCAAGTTATTTAAAGCCAGAAAAAGATTTTTTTTAGATTGTAAAATTTTTTTATTTTTTGGGGAATTGATGATTTTGTGATACAAGTCTTACTAATTAATCCATAGCTGGGGGAAAACGAGATGGATTCATACCTTTCTCAATGGTATTTGCATATAAGTGAATCTAACAAACCCAATGGGAATTGGAACTTGGCTCTCTGATTAACAATTCCAACCCATTATCCATTACACCACCTGCACATCCGAGCTTACAGGACCTGGTATTCCCAAACGGTCACCCATTTAGGTACTGACCAGGCTCAATGTTGTTTAACTTTGGTGATCATACAGGATTAAACAAAAAGAGTTATTAAATACATCATTTCATACTGTCTTGCTGCTTTGGTTATTTTGTGATGTTAGACGCTCTCGTGTTCTAACTTTTGTTAGGTCAACAATTGCTCGTTATCACGTTTGTAATGCTCGTAGTAGTCAAGACTTTGGAAACACAAATACTGGTAGTAGTAACACCTTTAAGTAATACTCGCACTAATAATACTGTTTCAAATAGTAACCACCGAATAGTAATCCATAGAATGATCGATATAGTGAAAGAGTATAGTGGATAGTATAGAGAATAGTGATCATGTGATCTACTTATTTAAAAATAGAATCGTCCAAGTTTGCTCATTGGTGATCTGTGTTCAAACTACGGTGTCGGCAACAACACTTTATTCCTATACAAGTTAAAACTATTTTTCTGGTTTCCAAGAAGAGTTGGAATATAAACTGTGCAATTTCTACTGAGTGTTTTCGACTTCTTTAAGTCATTATCAAAGAATTTTAAATATTAATAAAGGCATGCATTGAATTTCTTGTTAGTTTTAAAATATTGCATTTTATGTGTTGACCAGTGTCATGTAGGGCTTTTTCAAGTACTGCATCTTTGCATGTCAGCTTGTGGTGTCTTTAGACAATCACTACATTATCTTGGTGATTAACTTGGCATTCATCTGATAATTTCTGAATGTGTACTACCATGTTTTTTTTTTTTTTTTTTTTTAAAAACATGAAATACTTATTTTCAAAACAATTATTTTTATAAATTGAAGAGGAAAAAAAAATAACTCACCCAACAGCTCTATTTTGATTACCGACATTCATCACATGTTCAATTTCCTTGGCGCTTTTTGTCACAAATGATGACAGATCCTGAAAATAGACAATGGATAGTATAAAGAATACAGTGTATTTGATGGCATATAAAATTTCCCCACCTCCCAAATTTACATTTAATATTATAGTATTTCGAAGTAAGGTGAGGTACAAGTATTGGTAGCATGTGTCATCAAAGTAATCAATAGCTTACCAGATATATCAAATTTACATATAACAGCGGAGAGGTATTTTTTGATCAACTAAAAAATTGTATTGGAGATATATACTATCAAATAAATGAAGGGGACATATATGCTATCGAATAAATGGGAGGCATGTATACTATCAAATAAGTAGTGGGGGATTATATACTATTAAATAATAGGGATGTATGCTATCAAATATATGGGTGGGGGGGCATATATATATATATATATATATATATATATATATATATACACACACACACATTATCAAATATATGGGTGGGGCACATATATACATACTATCAAATATATGGGTGGGGTGCATATATACATACTATCAAATATATGGTGGGGGAGCATAAGTGGTGAGAGGCATTATCAAATAATATATTGCATATATATTATCAAATAAATGGAGATGGTTATGTATACTATCAAATACAGTATACCATTTTATTAAATGCTGATTGAATCAATTTAAGCAATCACTTCTTGGTTATTATTCTTACAATGTTTCAGCTGTTGTATCCTCTAGGCTTCTTCAGGTGTTTGTTGTAGTTAATGACCTGGGAAATGCAAACTGAACTCTTTATTCAAATCATGGATGTACACTGTTTGCATTCCGTAGACCTTGCTAGGGGGAGATAACTCGTATGAATTCTTCCGAGTTAATTAGTCTTTGTGATGTCCCTTGCCTCAACCATCGAACCAGAATATATGCCATTTTTTTTTTTTTTTTTGCATTACCCAGCCCAGGTATTGAACTTATGACTGTCAGATAACTTAATTCACTTAAAACAAACTTGTAATTCAGTAGTGGAAACTTTAAGCCTTATGCCTAATGTCACTTGTTTGCTTCTTCAATTAATCTAGAGAAGAAGACATTTTACATTACCTGTTAAAATTTCTAGTGCATATAATGAGGAAAATTTGACTCTCACATGACATATTGAAGGCAAGAGTGACAAAGGAAAACAGCACGTAACCTACCTAACAAGTTTGTGCAAATGGTTGGCAGAACAGGGTTTTAGGAGAGATCGTAAAAAGACAAAATTTACTAAGAGCTACAAAGGACAGAAAATTGTGGAGAGCCATAATTGTTAACATCCTGAAGAGACATAGCCCATAAGGATATTGTTTTACAACCTTTTTGCCATCAAGATTAACGAAAGTCTATTTCCAGGGGGATGTACATCCCAGGCCACACTTTTCTCATTAAAAGGGAAGGGTCAAGGTGAACCCCTGATGCCTAAGGTATCTAATAAAGAAACTGAGAGGACTAGGTAATTTCTGATACCATCTGCATGTATGTGGGTCTCCATGTTATTGCTTTGTATCAAATCTAACATCATGTTGGGGGGATGGAGTAGATAAACAAATTAATGACAGTGTAGGACAGATATTGTTTTAGCTAAAAATTTCTTGCTAATGTTTTTTTTTATATTAATGTCCACCCAATACAAGGCCCAAGAGCCACTCAAGATAGTTTCTGTGTGGTGTTTTTTGAGCATGAGAAAAGGCAACAAGTTGATGGGACTATGCAGAAATAATAAAAGTTAACTGTAGACTTGAAGAGGCCAAGATTGTAGCTATTGGGAAAACATCCTGCCAGGACACTGTTCCACAAAGCAGCAGTTCTTGTTTGAATGGAACTGACTTCTATTAAAATACCAAAGCAATGGGGATGGTTCACACTTGTGTGTGTGGCAAAGTGGGTCCCAGCTGTATTGGTCAGGAGTGGTGGGAGGGAATGGGATGTTGCAACATAGCTAATTCAACATAGGAATTTTTTGGCAGAGGGATGATAAGGCATCAAATTACTACTTATCTCTTTCTCTCTCTCATTTAGTAGTCAAATTAGTACTTTGTTGTTATATGCTCGAATAGTTCAATTTAAGAAAAGGAGTAGTTGGAGGTATTTTTAAATTTAAAAAAAATAAATTTATTGATGCTTTCTGGAAAGTTCAGAAAGGATGTGATGCATTTCTCGAAAAGTTGATCACTGGATATCCCCCCCTCCCCCAAAAATAAAGTTTAAAAAAAAATATAGAGATGCTGATGAACGAATCAAAAATGTCATAATGAAACTTGAATCATTCGATCCTCTAGAATTCCTGAAGGGTGTTGCTCATAATTATGAAATGAAGAAGTCATTTCTAAGATTAAATAGCTTTACTAAGTTTTTTTAATTTTTTTTGAAATACAATATTTTTAATTTAAGTTTTTAATTTACATTATTCCATTAGTGTTTTAATACGATCCATAATTCCCTAAATGAATAAAAAGTCTTATTTAAAGTTGGGTGTTTTCAATGCTTTTATACTTTGGGGGGGGTTGTCTCTGGTTAAAGACAGTGACATTGAAACAGTCTGATGCCTAAAATGCTGTGTCAAATAGTGAAATTATTTTTCTGATGCCGAATCAGCTATGCCGAAACATACTAAACCTGTAGTGGGAGTAAAGAATGTAGCTCATCAGAACACATGCTATGGAAATAACCGATAGAGCAGCAATTAATAAAGCAAAAAAAAAAAAACATTACCTACCTTTACATACACACCAGTGTCTGGCCTTTCTTTCAACTCTAAACGTTTTGATTGATCTTTGGATAACAAATCCCGAATTTCTTCCTGAAAGGAGACAGAGATATTTTTTATGATTAATGATAATAAAAAGGTAATCATAATTCATTCTGATAGAGATGAAAATTACCGCCATAAAATTAATATTTGATAATATTGTATGATAGCCTGCTGAAAAGCTCACAGGCCAACTATGAAGGAGTGATGCTAGAGCTGTGAAATCTTGAATGCATTACTTTCAACTCTTCTTATTAATAACTGCATTGTAATAAGACATCTGACTGTTCATCCTGTTGGTGAAAAAAAAAAAAATCATCAACAGCAGATATGACGTCCCCATTACTGTAATACTTGTTTCCATCTAAGTGTTTTATCATGTTGGAGAACAGATTAGTCAAATCAGGAGAATAGAGAGAGTGATCAATTAGTTCAAAGTCAAGGTCCTGCAGACATTGAAACCAAGGACTTGTGTGCTGGAGCATTGTCCTGATGAAACAAGAGCCCTTTCATCAGTTTTCCTGGACATTTGATCTTGATAGCTTTTTATAACTGTCTCAGCAAATTGGCAGATTACTTTCCATTGATGATATGGCAATTTTGAAGACGGTCAATAAAGACAATGCCATGTATCCCAAAGAATTGAGGTCATCACCTTCCCTGAAGATGAAACGACCATGGTGTTCTTTGGAACAGGTGAGGAGGGGTGTTTCCACTGCATGGATTGTCTCTGGCTCATAGTGATAAAGCCAACACTCATTCTGGGTTATTAATAATTCAAGAAAACCAGCTGGATCTGCTTGCCTCAAACAATGCCAATTTCCTGTGATCAGCCTGATACACTATAGATCAGGTGTCAGAAGACGTGGCACCCATCAAGTAGAAACCTTTGTCATGCCAAGTTCATTGTGCAGAATATTCCCAACTCCCTCACATAATATGTTAATAGAATTGGCTATTTGATTTATAGTCAATCATCTGTTACCCATCACCGTGTGGTGAACATGATCAATGTTTTCTTCAGTGGTGGCAGTTGCAGGATATCCAGACCTTGGGTCATCTTCAAGAATCTCCTTTTCCCCCTCATAAATTCAGCTGCCCGCTTTTGCACTTTTCATAAAGCTGGGCAGTCATCCCCTAATGTAGCAACTATGAATGTTCTTTGTGTGTGTGTGGGGGGCTAAACCCTTTTGCTGAAGGAACTTGATAACACCACAATGCCAAATTTTGTCTGTTTTTAAGCAAAGTCGCTATAAATTACTTTTCAAGATTCATTCAAACAGATGTCAGACGGGAAAGAAACAATGCATTTATTAATAAGAAGAATTGAAAGCATGTATAGCAAGGTTTCACAGCTCTAGCATCGCTCATACATGGTCAGCCTATGAACTTTTCCAGCCCACTGAAATTTACAAATAAATAATCTAATAAATAAATTATTTTTTTTGTAAATTATCAAGAATATACACACACACACACACACACAGAGTGACTTAAAAAAAATGGGAACTTTTTAACAATCCAATAAAACCAAGAGTGATGGAAGAAAAATATTTTATTCATAGTAATTGAAACCTTAAAACATGCCATTTAAAAAAACAACGATGGAATTTTCATTTTTTAAAAATTACGTCCTGTAGATGGCGTCCTCCTGTACGAATACATTCTTGAAATCTGCTGTTGAGATTCCTCATTGACTGCTGCAAAATCTCAGCTGGGATACTGTGAATTTCATCTTGAATTCTAAATGGCGAAATGTTTACTTGCTTAAGGTCACTGTCTCGCAGTGTTGTCACTTGCTCATGTCTGGTAATACGCACTTCAAAAATTCCTGTTTTTTTTGGTCACCCTATATATATATATATATATATATATATATATATATGAATTGTGATCAAATAGAGATGGATTGGAATGCGATATAATAAGATAATGAACAACTAGTAAATGTTTATCAATCTAATATGTTTCACTTTTACTAAATCTTCATCAGGGAATGAGATGTGAAGAAAAAGAAATTCTGGTATTTTTATTTTTGTGCAGTTTGATTTTTATTGGTTAATCAGGTTTCATGTGCAATCGACTTGTTAAACAAATGTTAGTATAATTTATGACATTCTGAATTCAAGAAGAGATGATGTGTCCCCTTGAAGCTCCAAGAAATTAACAGATTGCAAGCCCAACTGAAAAACTGAAAATACTGCCTTTTGTATGTCTATGTGGGATTCAGGTGATAATGTGTATATCTAGTAGACATTATGTTTGGTGGTTTTTCACATGTTGATTTAAGAATATTTTTACATATTATACAGTTTGTTTTAGAAAAACATACATTAGATTCTTTAAGAATGAATTCAATAAAAGGTTGATGATGTAATATGTTTTTGATGTGTGTTTATGGTTGGTAATATATTTATCAGTAATCCCTTGAATTACTGTTGACATGAAGAATTATGTTCTTTTTTAATTAGGGTGGCATTTTTAAAATCAAAGTTATGGCCAGTTTTATTCCTGCAAGTTTAAATGATTGTCTAAATGTAAATCTCTCTTGTGTTCATAGATACAAGGATGCTATGACACTTTCATACCCTCATGACACTGTCAACCACACAATGTTTTTGTCTTCAGTTCTTTTTTAGTTTAAAAAAAACAAATACAAATAGATTTCTTTTTTCTTAATATTTGTTTCATAATTTATTGATTTTAATTTTAAATAATACATTTCAAAGTAAGTCGTAAGGTGAGCGAATATAATAACTTGGATTTTTTATTTTATTAATGTATATATATATATATATTCATGGGTTTGATGTTTTTTTTCTTCTTAAAAAACAAAAAAACACCACCCCGTCTTGGCATCATGTAGGAAAATCAGTAGAACCAAGCATACCCGATTTATAACATCAAATAGCCCAGGTGTAGATTTTATTAGACCTAAAGCTAGTAGCAAATTTACTCTGTGTGCGGGCTGAATACTGATCATATTCGGTCAGGTTGCCCATCGAAGAAGTCTGTTGTTTATTTAGGCCTGACATTTTTTATTTAGTGACATGAGAGCAACAACACTGATGACACACCTAGAGTCGGCATTTAAAGGTATAATTTTAGCCATTTCTTTATCTTTCTAACATTCTTTTTTAGAAACTTTTGACAGCAGAAACACATCTACAGAAGCTTTTTAAAACCATTGCTAGTGTTTGTAAATTAAATTTAATTATTAATAATTGCAACAGTCCAACTGTTGTTATTTTAAATTTATTTTATAAAAAACTTTTTTTTAAAAAAACTTTTTAAAAATAAGTTTCTTTTCATTTTATAAATTTATCTGGTTGTGTTATACATTTTTTTTGGGTGGGGGAAGGGAGTGTAATAGCACTGATACAGGCTTTTAAATTTTGAGGTGTCTTGCTGATATAAGTGCTTTTACATTGTAAGCAATTTATTTGATAAGCATTGGCATCTGAATTGGTGTTAGATTTATTTTACGATGAAGCTTTAATAAAAGTGAAACATGTTAGATTGACAAATGTTTCCTGTTTGTTCTTTATCTTGTCATATATCTCTCATTCTGGAGTTTATAATACTTTCTCAATCTGTTGCTACTTTTTTACGACACCAAATAAAAGTTTGATTATCCAAGACACTATTAGTCTTTTGTTACAGATCTTACCGTTTATTGCTTTTATTGGTAGGATGAATGTTGAATTATACAGGAATATATTGTTAGACAATTATTTGACCAGAGCAGAATTGTTTAATTCAAAATATAACTTCTGCAATATTCAGAATAAAATAAAACGTCTTATTTTCCCTTGTGCCACTTTATTGGCTGAGAAATATCCCTTACCTGATAAATTTCCAAATACGATGCACGAACCAGGTACTGCTGATTTTCGGAACGAGAAATATGTTGGAAGATGTGTTCAAATGAGTTGGGAATCACACCACGTATATCAGGATCATTTTTCACTCCTAGAAAATAAATAAGTAAAACATTGTCTTAATGATTAAAAGAAAAAGAAAAAGAAAGAAAAGAAAAG